ACCGACAAACATAGGTCAGTTTCGAGGCATCTTTGAAGCCTGGGGGTTGAGCCATATACACAGTTTCAGTTAACTGGCCATGCAAAAAGGCGTTATTCACATCAAGTTGTCTCAAGGACCATCCCTGCATCACAACAACGGTTAAAACAATTATAATTGTAGCGAGTTTAACAACAAGGCTAAATTTTTATTTGTAATCTAAACCAGGGCGTTGATTGAAACCTTTAGCAACAAGTCTTGCTTTAAAGCGATCAACAGACCCATCAACCTTGCGTTTAACACGAAATACCCATTTGCAACCAATTGTGGTGCAATTGTTTGGTGGAGGAACTAGTTGCCAAGTTCCATGGCGCATTAGTGCAGTCAGTTCCTCAGACATGGCTGTTCTCTAGTGAGGTTCACGGAGTGCTTGTTCCTCACAGCTTGGTTCAATGGTATTGGGAATGAGGTGTTTGGTGGCTAAATTTAATTGTTTTGGTTTGTGAATATCGTTCATTGAACGAGTGGTCATGGAGTGGGTTCGAGGAGGGGTCTGTGCAGGGGAATCACAGGGTACAGAGGAAGGATTTGTGTGCAAAGTGTTGTCGTGGGTGATGAGATTCATGTGTGAATCGGATGAAGAGGCACTAGTGTCATGCGATGAAGAGAAATTAGGGCATACATGATCAAGAGCAAAATTGCAAGAACTAGAAGAAGAGAGACCAGAGGCGTTACCTGGAGGTGTTGGAATGGTGTTAACCCCTGCCAAAATCACTGGTGGCGGTGTTGTTAGAGCTATCGCATGGATGTGTGACACGGCGGTGGACGATGAGGGTTCGGGAGCTTAAGAAAGACCAGGTTGGGTTTCATCAAATAGAACGTGCCGAGAGTAATACATGTGATTGGTCTTTGGGTCAATGCATTTGTATGCATTTTCGGTCTATGAGTAGCCCACAAACAGACAGGGTATTGATAGGCTAAAGCTTGTTGGAGTTTTATGGCCTAATGAGTGGAAAACAGAGACGACCAAACTTCTTTAATTTCATGTAATTCGGTGGCTATTGAAACAAGGCTTCAAAAGGTGACTTGTTGTTTAAGAGAGGAGTTGGTTGTCTATTTATCAAATATGCAGCAGTGGAGAACGCATAAGGCCAGTATTTTAAGGACAAAGAAGCATCATGTAATAGAGTGAGGCCCGTTTCAACTAAATGACCGTGTTTACACTCGGAAACACTGTTTTGTTGTGGTGTATGGGGAGCGGTGGTATAGTGGCTTATTCCATGAATAGAAAAATATTTTTTTAAAGCTATAAATTCACCACCATTATTCGAGTAAAGACTTTTGATTTTTGCTTGAAATCTGGTTTCAATGAGATGTTTGAATTGAGGAAATATTGTGCTAACCCCATATTTTGTTTCCATAGGATAGAACCAAATGTATTTTGTGAAATGGTCTACAAAAATCAAATAATAGCGTGAGCTGTCAATGCCAACCGAGTTTGAGGGACCCCAAACATCAGTATAGATTAAGTCAAGTGTTGCATGACTTTGAAGACTAGTGGGACGAAATCGTTGCTTGTGTGCTTTATTAATAGAACAAGAGGTACAAAGCTGAGAAACTTTTTCATTTATTATTGTAAGAGAAAAAGAGTTGACAACATGATGGATAATTTTATTGGAAGGATGTCCAAGTCATTTGTGCCACCCATCGATGGATGTTTGTTCATGCACATTCTCAACAATTTGTGGAGGAGATTTTACCATTGATTCCGGTAGAGTGTAGACACCATTTTCACATGCACCTTTGAGTAGAACCGCCCCCGTGGTCTGATCCTTAACAAGGAAAAAAGAAGGGTGAAATTCAACAAAAACATGATTTTGGGTAGTAAAGTGATGAACTAAAATGAGGTTTTTGTGTATATGAGGAACACAAAGAGTATCATTTAAATGAAAGGTGCGTGTAGGCGAGTGGGGAACCAATAAACCAATGTGAGAAACACGCAAACCTAAACCATCATTGATTACAACCTCGTCGATGCCATCATATTCAATGTGAACTGATAAATTAGCCAAATCACTAGTGATATTATAAGATGTCGTCGAGTCAATGAGCCATTTTGTGTCCGCAGCTGGTAAGGTGGAGGTACAATTTGTTGTTGCTTCAGAGAACTGCACACGGGAACAATATTTTGCAATATGGCCCAATTGATCACAGATTTGGCATTTGGGTATGTACCGGCGTTGTCCAGTGGGTTTGTTCTTCGTATTATCACGTGGGCCACCATTTGGGCGATTCTGGGCCGAGGATGAATGTTGTTGTGGAGAGGGATTGGTTCTGTTAGACCCAAAAGACTTCGAATAACCCTTAGAATTGTTACCTATAGAGGAGGAGTCGTTGCGCCGATTGGAGTAATTGGCTGAGGCAACCAGTTGCTGGAAGGTTGTTTCAAGGCGCCGTAGATAAGCAGTGTGACCTACAAGAAGGTCATGTAATTCCTCAAATTGAAGAGGACGTTCCCGTGCACGGATTGGAGCTGCGATTTCATGGAAGTCAATTCCTAGACCATTGAGTATGTAAAGGGTAAGATTATCCTCAGAGATAGGATGATCAATGAGGGAGATTTCATCAGCAAGAGCTTTGACCGTATGCAGGTAATCCTGAATTGGTTGATTTCCTTTCTTGATCAAAGTGAGCTCCTCTTTCAATTGCATTGCACAGGTGCGAGATTTACTCTCATACAGGGTATGTAATTTTTGCCAAGCTTGTTGAGAAGTTTTGGAAATGGAGATGAATGGTGTGATGGTGGTGGTTGTTGAGGCTAAAATGGCGCTGAGGATGAGTTTGTCTTGTCTTATCCAGTGGATTTTTTTAGGGGTGGAAACGAAGGGATTGGTAGCATTGGGGCAGGGTTTGTCACCAGTGACATAGTCAAGTAAGTTGTACCCTATGAGAAGGGCTTCAAACTAAGCACGCCATTAGGAAAAGGTTGAGGGTGTGAGATTTTCATTGATCTGGGAAGAAATATTGAGAGCAATAAGGGGAATTTCAGTTGGGGATGGTGGAGTAGAAATCGGGTTATGGTTGTTTTCAGTGGTTGGGATCGAGTTCTCGATGGAGGAAGGCTCTATTGATACCATGATGAAGTTTGAAAAACAGTAGACTGAAAAACTCTTATTGCTATCGTTGGAATTTTTCACCACACAATTAGAGAGTTTTTACATGGAAATATATACAAGAGTATAAAATCTATTCTAAGAAGGAATGCTAAAAATAAGCCCTGACTGTTACAAGATTTATGGCCGTGATATGCTAGACTGTTACAAAATATTTACAGCCAATACAAGCAGAGTTCCTTCCTGAAATCAAGTGATATGATCTTGTGCTTGATTTGAGGAGTCCTCCTTTATATATTCATCATCAACAATTTAGACGACATGGGACACTTTGTGAATACTTACATGGCAAAGAGTTATTAATATTTGGAAATGCTCTATTTATATGTTAATATTTAAGGGTGACTTATGCCCTTGAGGCTTGTAATATATGGAAATACGATCATTTAATTTTTCGAACACATACTCTTTTACTCTTATTTTGAAATTAATTCTTATTTTTGATAGACATATGCATAGACAAAACTAATTTTTAATTCTTAATATTATGTGTTATGCCTAAAAAGTCAAGACTAATGTGAACTCAGCAAGAGCCAATCAGAATTCAGAGAGGCTTTGTATCGTCTAGACGTTGCGACATCACGCAATGACGGAAGAGGTATGGTTCTTGTCAGTATAGCGAGTGAATGCCAGACTTGCGAGTGGCTAGGGATCGTCCACCTACCCAAGCCCTACTCAATTTAAGGATATCTCTCGTGCAGACAACCAATGGGATGCAAGAAAGGACTTGCACGACACCTACCCATTTGCAGACTTGTAATCATTACCTTGAATTCTTCCACTTTAAATAGAGAACTCCTTTCTCAATTACGAGATTGGCTTATTTTAGTTTAAAACAACAAACTCTCTCTCTCTCTCTCTCTCTCTCTCTCTCTCTCTCTCTCTCTTTATTTTCTCTCTAGATTGTAACTCAGCTCTCTACATGCGCTATTAATACAATCACAGTAGACGCATGATTCGCTTTTGAGCATCCGAACCACTTTAAAAAACATCTTTTATTTACTCTCTTGCTACATATTTTCATATCACGTGTAACTTCTAAGTCCGCTTAGCATTTTGCACGTGTGAGTCGTTGGTGTCAAAATCAAGCATCAACATTATGATTGACATATATATAAACATTTTTATTTTAAAATTAATATTAATAATATTATGCATCTCAAATTTGTTTATCAAATATTATATTCAAAGTGATGTGATATTATGTTAGTAGTATATGTTAATTATTTTATTAAGTTATCTACGATGCCTTAACATATACCTTTTTTTTTTTTTTTTTTTTTTTATGATCAAGGGTATTCAGGTCAGTTTGCGTACACTTCAACTAATCTCACGAGACGCTGAAACTACCAGTTGAGTAAGTGTTCCAGTGGCCACCTCTATTAGTAGTCGTAAAGACTCAAACTCGTAAAACCATATTAGATCCTCCTCTTACTCTTTTATTATCAAAGGGACTCAAATTTGAAAAACCATATTAGATTTTCTTTTACTCTTTGCCACAACATTTACTAGTAAATCTACAAACAGTATGATCATAAAAAATATGGAAGCCCAGATAAAATATCTTTTGAGTTTTAACATTAATTGGTTGTCCTATATCTTGAGTCATTGACACCCCGTTGGAATTTGAAAAATCTTTGAATTTGTTATTTGATTCCATGAGTATATAACATTTTGTTTCTGCGCCTAACTGAACGGTACCAAAAAAAAAAAAAAAAAGCCCTTTATTAAATAGGCCCAACCCGATTTAGAGTCGGACCAATGCTTTTGCAAAGTTAAACAATGGCCCACTGTGTACCCAACGGCCACATGCACTGTGTACCCAACGGCCACATGCACTGTGATTTCCGTTAAGCGACCTAACGGATCCTTTTTCTGCTGGAAGGTGTTCCCAACCTTCAATTTCGATTTCTCCCGCAAATTTTCCGATCTGGTAACTCTCTGCCCATGGTTACTGCAATAATCTTTATATAACATCAATTAATTATCGATTTATGCTTCATGTTTATTAAGTAACCTCCAACATTTTAGAATTTTCTAGGGTAATGGAGGTTAGTTCATTGTTTTTTATTCCGTAAAGTTTGATTATGTATAATTCGTTTAGCTATGTTGAAATTAATTCAACTGAAATATGACTTAAAATTCGCTACTAGTTGAGGTTGCATTCAAAAATCCTTGTTCTAACCGTTTAGCTATAACTACCTTGCACATGCGCATCATCAAATGATTATGATTTAAGTTGAAATTGTGTTTTTTTGACTAAGTTGTTGTTATGGCTATGTAACAGTTGAATCATGTAAATTTTAGGTTCTTATGCTCTCTTGTAGTAGTAATTTTGATTCATGCTACATTATTCGCCAATATTGGGCATCCATGATAAAAGTAATGTTGTAAACTCAAAAAATTTCTGATTAATTTTCTGGATGAAGTATGTCTTGGTTACGTGTTTTGATATTTCAGCTTTTATGATTAAACTTTTTTGGCTAATTTTTTTTCATTTATATCAAGAAGAGTATGTTCGTATGAGTATGATTAATCATTTCTTTCTTGATCATAACTGTATAAAGGAAGTGATCAAGAGAAAGGATTACAAGTTTTGACACTTTTTCCTTTTTTCTTTTTGATCATGAAGCTTTATTCCTGGCTGCAGCTTTTATTGGGTTGGAGTTAGAGTGCAGATCAGATGTGCCACCAAACTTCTTGTGGCTGCTTGTCTGCAGAAGAGGCAACTACCGGTGAAGAGAGCCTCTTGATATATTGCAAGCCTGTTGAATTATACAATATTCTACGATGCCGAGCTCAACACAATGTAATATTTTGCATTTTCTTGCAGAAGCTATGGTTTGCCAGTTTATATTTGTATTTTTCTATTGGTTAGAAGATTTTTCTTCCAAGTTTCATAGACAAAATTTTCATCTTACAAAATGAGACATTATTGAGTAATCCCTCGTAGGAATTTGGTAAAATATGCTTTCCAATTTGAACCTCATTTTGTTTCAATTGTGTACAAACTCCAGATTTTTAGTTGTTGACAGAAATCAGTTGTTTGGCCGTGCCAATCTGACTCATGATTTAATACTTGTCAAATCAAGACTAACGTTGGCTTGAGCCCATTGTTATTGTTTGTTGTTTAGTACTTAATATTAGGTGCCAATTACACGTTGGCATGTAAGTTTTGGAATCATGTGGGTTCTCAATTTCTTGTATCCTCTTTTCAAGAGTGTATACTTTCTAATCAAGTGCATTCTGTGTTGTAGCCTTCATTTCTTCGAAGAAGTTTGCAATACAAAATACGGGCAAAGCGCAAAAGGAGGTATCGACTTCCATCTTAACATGTCTCTATTTTTCCATGGCACTAAAGATGGGGAACGGAATTAATCAACCATACCTGCATATGGATATTGCTTATATATTTTTGTGCATGTGATGGCTAATTTGTTGGTGTGAAGTGTGTTATATAAAACTTGTTGGGATTCCATTCATGTCATATATCCATTAATCATGATAATTATTTAAGCCCGGAGATAGAATATAAAAAAACATAGAAGAAGAGCTAAAATATCTAATCCCATGCAATTGGGCATAGAGCTAAGCAGAGTATTCTCATAGAGTGCTACCTTTGTTCTTGATAAAAGGTCAATCTCATTTTGCTCAAACAAGTATAAGGGAGTATAATTTTAAAGAACTTTATAATCAGAAGATCTAGCTTGAATTTATGCATTACAACCTTTGGTTAATAAGACCTGCATCTTTTTTAAGGTCAGCTTGTAACCAAGGCCTCTATTTGTAATACTCTTTCTCTTTTTTAGTCTGTAAACTTTCTCACCATTTCTAAAAGAAGTCAAACCTTTCACATTTCTCAGAACTTGGAATGGTAGGATCCCTGTGGGCAGGTTGCATGTTCTGGGTTATACGAATAGATGAAATGTTGTTAAAATTTCATTTTGTTTCAGTAATGATTTTCTTTGACTATTTAACCATTGTGTGAATATATAAGTAAGAACCGTGTTCATTGGTTCTATTGTAATTCACTTTCATTAATTGTCTATATAAATCATCTACGAATCCTACTTGCCTACCAAAAAGTGAAGAAATTTTATTCTTTGTGGCTTTTTTGTTTTCCTATTGTGAATCTTTGGTTGTGTCACATGGTATATTTTTGTTTAATGTAGTTCACATAATCTTGTTCAGCTCAAGGGCAGAAATTGTAGTTTTCAATTATAGGGACTACAGCAACATGCTACAAAAGACTGAAGGTATATTGAAATTTTTGCCTTTTTAATATTGTCTTTTGTCTTTTTTTTAACTTATACTACATTTAATTGTTTGTGAGCTTCAATCAAATTTAGAGAGGTTGTCTTGCTAAATGCTTCTAATTATTTGTTTTCTTTTTGTCTCCGTCAATCACTCCTTGTGGCTGGAATGTCCATATATTCAATAAGTACTTTTTTTAATGCTATTATGGGTTTGTTTACTCAATGACACTCCTAAAATGTATTAATGCATAAGATACTAAGGTTTGTTCGTTCATATTATTGTTTCTTATTTATTTTTTAACATGGAGACTAGATACTGAGGGTTGAGGTGGTTGGATTGCAGATAGAAGGATGAATGGATGGGAGAAATTAATATTGTTAACCATAAGTTATACATTAAAGATGGGCCTTTGCTTGCTATTCTTCTTTTCTCTTTTATTTGTCAAAGATCTATGTCGCTTGCAACCTTTTTGTAGAAGTAGCGAGGTCTGGGAGGGACCTTTTATATCACAAAGGGTTTGTACCCTTAGATCTATATGAAATGAATTTACTCAGGTGGAACAAATTAATATGCATATTTATACCTATATAATCACTGTGACAGTTATCTTTTAACAATCAACAAACCTGTGTATGTGTCTATTTATACCAATTGCAATCAATTTGAGACTTATCTTTAATTATCAACTGACGTTCGTATCTCTTAGTTTTTTATTTCCTTAATAAATGGTAGAACATGATTTGGAGTCAGCTTTTTCTCTCCATTTTTTAAGTAAGTGTACTTGTTTTCATTGAAAACAAACATTTACCAAGGTGCTAATTAACTTTTATCTTTTCAAAATGCAGTAACTGAAGACTTTTCTTGTCCATTTTGCTCAATGCAATGTGCAAGCTTCAAGGTGGGTATTAAATCTAAGATTAGTACTTATCTTTGTTACTCCATTTATGATATTCAAGTTTGAGACAAATTTAGTATTTAGGGTTTGATTATTGTAATTTCACTTGCTGATTTATCCTCGCAATAGTGTTATTTGTATTTGCGTTATGGTTTGGTTAGATAAAGATTGCTTAAATTTGTATACGAAATGTTTAGTCAATTATTTTGACTGATACCAAAAATGAAGCTTGAATTTTTGTTTTCAGGGTCTGCGGTATCACTTGTGCTCTTCACATGACTTGTTCAACTTCGAGTTTTGGGTTGGTAATTTTGAATATGATGTCACTTGCCGCTCATTGAGCTCTTGTGGAAAGGCTTGTCATGAAACATTTATTTTGTAGGTAACTGAAGATTATCAAGCAGTGAATGTCTCTGTGAAAACTGATATACTAAGATCCGAGGTTGGAATTTTTTTTCTTCTTTGTGATTGAAAATTCATATTGCGTTCTGCATTAGTTATAGGTTGAGCAAAATCAACTTAAAGGCCACTTTTGTTATTTTTTCATTTCTAATTACCACACACCTCCCACACCCTTGACCATGCACAAACACAAATTAATGTATCCCCCTGTGAGGTTTTTATCAGGAAGATTTGGTCCTAGATCTCTTTTTCCACTACAAAAGATCTAACTTACAGTATTATCCACTTAGGGACACTTTAAGCCCATTTGATGGCTGGTCCTCAATTTTACTTAGAATCTTTACATGAAGCTCTCCGTTCCACGGGGACTCATTGTAATGTGGGTCCAATATGACCTAGCATTTTGATGCAGATAAATCTGTAAAAAGAAAATATTATTTGTTTAGAATTTTTGATGTCCTTTTTTTCAAGAATCTTTACCTGTACTTATGCTCATTATTGCTATAGATACAACTGAAAATGTATGCTGTTAAATGCATGTCACTGGCACAAAAAGTTGCTTTTGACATGCAAATCATAATTTTATGTATTGCGCTTTCTCCACATATAGGTGTAGTTATGTTACATCTTTAGATCTTCTAGCTTGGTAAAAGCAATTTCTCCTACCAGTGAGCATGAATAAGTATTATCCTGTCAATATGTTCTTTTTACAGGTGGTAGCAGGTGGAGTAGACCCACAACTGCAACCATTCTTCTTCTGGTAGGTCTCATTCCTCTGCGTACAGGGTACAGCTTTGGTTAATAACCTATTCGTTTTTTCGGCATTAATATCAAGAATTGAGAAGGCAAAGTGGATTGTATATACAGCTCAAAGCCACGAAGATGTAGACCTAAGAAACTCACTCAAAATGAGAGACGTGTCAACATACAATTCCTGGAGTTGGATTCACCCAAATTACCCACAGATCCACCCAGGGAATTATCTGAGAAGAATGATGGTAATCAATATTTTTCTTGATGCTCCTTATAGGTTTTTTAATTTTTTTTTTCTAAGAGTCTGGAAACTAACATCGTGGTTTGGATGTTTGTTGCTCTGAAGGTGAGAAGGTTTCCAAGTCTTCCAATGAGAATAAATTGCAAGATGGAAGGGATGGAGACAAAAACTCTGGTTTTGATGTAGCTGAATGTATTGAGTGTGTTGGATCCAGTTTCAATGTTCCAGGTGTTTCAATTGCCATGGCTCAATCTTCTGTGGACCCTGAATGTGTTAAATCATTATCTGGAAGTGAGGCTGCAGTGCCTACTATGCTACATGTTGTAAAATCTAGGAAGATAACCACGGAACGGTCAGACCCTAGAAAGTATGTGTACCAAGTTTGCAGTTTCTTTCCTTGTTTCTAGGCCCTGATCTTGTCCTTTGTTTTCCTTCTAATTTTTTTTTTTTTTTTTAGCATCGTACTTCACCTTGTTCAGTAAAATATAAACATGCACATAATGTTTGGATTAAAAATATGGGCAAGATGCCTCCCATAAATGTTTAGAGTCGGTATGCCATTTTGGTTATGTTGCTCTTTTAAGTACATTTTTGCTAGTTATTCTTAGTTTTAGGCCACCTATTATTTATAATAGTGTCAAACTTATTTTCTGCTTGGCCCTCATTTCATCATGACCCTCAACATTGCTAACATTAGTCTTTTATGTTAATGTCTATATATTATACCCAACTCTTTTTCTCTGTGATTGTTTCCGATGGATGCCATCTCTAGCTTCCTGTGGGTGTTAGCACTTTGAGTTCCCATCTTTCCTTCTAATTTTAGCTGCTGCTATTGCACAGATTTGATACCTAAGCTGTTTGTCATTCTATATTGTAAAACGCATATGACTTTCTGTTAGGATCCCACATTGGAAGGGAAAAGGGTGGGCATGCGGGCTATTAAGGGCTTGGGCAGCCTCCTTTGGCAAGCCAGTTTTCCAAAGAGAGTTCTACCCAAACTCATAAAAGACTCATGGCTCAGCCCAATTGTTTGAGTTGATGTGGTGGGTTCCTATCAATTGGTATCAGAGCATGATCCTGTGCCCACGTGGACATCGCTTACGTGACAGGCTGACCCGTGGTAGGTTGACCTTGGGCCCAGGCTGCTACCTCGAGAAAGGGTATAGAAGCCTGAGGGAAAGAGGATCCGCGTGTCACCCAAGAAGTAAAGAGGCCGACGTAGACGTCGGTTGCGGAAACGTGGTGGAATGTTAGGATCCCACATTAGAAGGGAAAATGGTGGGCATATGGGCTATAAAGGGCTTGGGCACCCTCCCTTAGCAAGCCGGTTTTCCAAGGAGAGTTTTACCTAAGCCCATGAAAGACCCATGACCCAGCCCAGTTGTTTGAGTTGTTGGGGTGGGTTCCTATTACTTTGACAGACTTATCTTGGTTTGCCAGAATTTGATGAAAATTTATATTCCCCAATGCCGAAGTTATTTCATTATTTCTCCATTACTCTAGCAGAAATTACTTTGTCATCTCCTGATGCACTTTTGCTTCCTACTTTTTTTTTTTTTTAAAGAAAGAAATTTCATGAAATTGCAAATCTTCTATTTGATGCATTGTGCCATGACTAGTATTTCTTAGCTTCATTTACTGGATCAACTGGAATTGTTTTACCAATGATTAACATACACAATAGAGATTTTTTTTTTTTTTTTTTTTACTTTGTCGTTGTATTTAACTTCCTTTCTATGCTTATTCATTTTTTACAACTGAAATTGTTGCAGCCGTGTACTTCTACACAAGCGGCAGTTCTATCATTCTCACCGAGTTCAGGTGAGTAGCAATGTAGATTTATTTGACAATTTTGTCTCTTTTTCCATTTGCCTCTTCAACTTTTTGAGCTACTGCTCTTGTCATGCATATCTGTGTAGTTGGCTCAATTTTCTTAAGCTTTTTATAATGGAAATACAGATTTTATGTGTAAGTTTCCATATTGAGAATATAAGATAGACAAAGGCCTAATAAGAAATCCTATTAAAAAAGTCTAATTTTAAGCATAGATATTTTCAGGGTTTTAAGCTTGTAAATAGGCTACACATTTGCTAGACCGGGGAAATACTTTTAAGATATTAATGCTGATATAGAAAATGGTGTCTTCTAATCTAAACGAAGACTCGATAGAAATCAGGTTCTTTAATCCTCATTCAGGCTATGGCTGTTTATGAACAGTGGAGATGACTTTATAGGGATATTTGATTTTCTTCAAAATTAAGAAAGCATTGTTTTTCCTTACTGCTCTATGTCTTTTGTGACTGTCAGACTTTCTATTTGTCTCATGCATGTGGAATGCTTGTTATTGCTTATTTTAGGTAGCTGCTTTAATATATAGAATTCCTGGAACTTGTTGATAATTTCTAGCAATTGCCAGATGTTTATACCATTTTTTCCTTTAATTTAAATTAATTTTTGTGCCTGTTTACCAATGATTAAAAACTTTCCTTTTTGCATGAAGCCAATGGCGATAGAACAAGTAATGTCAGATCAAGATAGTGAGGATGAAGTTGATGATGACATTGCAGATTTTGAAGATCGAAGGGTATGCCTGGTGATTCTATCATCTTCATTTTGCTTGTTTTCTTAGTTGAAACTCTTCTTACCCTAATAGAACTTGCCCTTCTTTCCTATCAAATTATGTGGAACTAGTTCAAAATTTTATGAAGTATAACGCTTTTGTCAAGTAAAGTTAATTGTTATTGTAAGACAAGAACTTGGGTCATTAGTTATATGTTTCAAGTGCTTAGTTTCACCAATTTTTAGTACTCGTTGGGCTTGAAATTGCAATGAATTGGATGATATCATGATGCATTTTTCATCCTTTGACCTTTTAAATAGTAATTTGATCCTGTTTACTTCTAACGTATGGGAATTTTACTTTGTTTTGTCTCCTATTATATGTAGACCAAGTTTTCACTTGTGAATGAGTATTTTTAATTGCTTTGATAGGAACTTGGAAAATAATATGATATTGTCATATTGCAGATGCTTGATGATTTTGTTGATGTTAGCAAAGATGAGAAACAACTTATGCATCTTTGGAACTCATTTGTGAGAAAGCAACGGTAGTTATTGCTTACCTCTTCAAGCGTTCTATCTTTTATTTTTCAGTTCTTTCATATTATTTTTCATTGTTGTCTGTTTTTGTTTGCCAAGATGTTGGGGGAAGTCAATGGGATCTGAGGTGCACCACTTTATGATGTTCTGTATGATCTGGTTTTTAGCTTAAAAGGCTATATCTCCTTTTTTGGCAGGGTCCTGGCGGATGGTCACGTTCCTTGGGCTTGTGAAGCATTTTCCAGACTTCATGGGCGGGATCTGGTCCTTTCTCCAGCACGATTTTGGTAGTTTCCTTCATTAGTTCTGTCCTCTTTGTTCTTGTTTTTGGTTTAAGTTAGTGCAAACTGTGCTGTTAAACATACGGTGAAGGACCAATCTTGGTTTAAGTTCACTAACTATGTGTAGGCCAGCTATTCATGATGATTAGTGGAATGGTATCCACCCTACCATGACTGAAACCAATCAATGATCTAATTATATTATAGAAACTCATAATACAGAACCTGAGAAAGAAATTTGCAAAAATGTCATTCATATTATGCTTTGTGTATCTCATAAATTTTAATATCTTGCAAAGGTTATTTTAAATGAAGTCATGGGTTTTATTTGATCTATTAGAACATTACTCTACTTGTACTGGAACCAGTTTCGATAGTTTTAATTTAAAAGAAAAAGAGAACAAAATGTAGATTTATTTGACAATTTTGTCTCTTTTTCCATTTGCCTCTTCAACTTTTTGAGCTACTGCTCTTGTCATGCATATCTGTGTAGTTGGCTCAATTTTCTTAAGCTTTTTATAATGGAAATACAGATTTTATGTGTAAGTTTCCATATTGAGAATATAAGATAGACAAAGGCCTAATAAGAAATCCTATTAAAAAAGTCCAATTTTAAGCATAGATATTTTCAGGGTTTTAAGCTTGTAAATAGGCTACACATTTGCTAGACCGGGGAAATACTTTTAAGATATTAATGCTGATATAGAAAATGGTGTCTTCTAATCTAAACGAAGACTCGATAGAAATCAGGTTCTTTAATCCTCATTCAGGCTATGGCTGTTTATGAACAGTGGAGATGACTTTATAGGGATATTTGATTTTCTTCAAAATTAAGAAAGCATTGTTTTTCCTTACTGCTCTATGTCTTTTGTGACTGTCAGACTTTCTATTTGTCTCATGCATGTGGAATGCTTGTTATTGCTTATTTTAGGTAGCTGCTTTAATATATAGAATTCCTGGAACTTGTTGATAATTTCTAGCAATTGCCAGATGTTTATACCATTTTTTCCTTTAATTTAAATTAATTTTTGTGCCTGTTTACCAATGATTAAAAACTTTCCTTTTTGCATGAAGCCAATGGCGATAGAACAAGTAATGTCAGATCAAGATAGTGAGGATGAAGTTGATGATGACATTGCAGATTTTGAAGATCGAAGGGTATGCCTGGTGATTCTATCATCTTCATTTTGCTTGTTTTCTTAGTTGAAACTCTTCTTACCCTAATAGAACTTGCCCTTCTTTCCTATCAAATTATGTGGAACTAGTTCAAAATTTTATGAAGTATAACGCTTTTGTCAAGTAAAGTTAATTGTTATTGTAAGACAAGAACTTGGGTCATTAGTTATATGTTTCAAGTGCTTAGTTTCACCAATTTTTAGTACTCGTTGGGCTTGAAATTGCAATGAATTGGATGATATCATGATGCATTTTTCATCCTTTGACCTTTTAAATAGTAATTTGATCCTGTTTACTTCTAACGTATGGGAATTTTACTTTGTTTTGTCTCCTATTATATGTAGACCAAGTTTTCACTTGTGAATGAGTATTTTTAATTGCTTTGATAGGAACTTGGAAAATAATATGATATTGTCATATTGCAGATGCTTGATGATTTTGTTGATGTTAGCAAAGATGAGAAACAACTTATGCATCTTTGGAACTCATTTGTGAGAAAGCAACGGTAGTTATTGCTTACCTCTTCAAGCGTTCTATCTTTTATTTTTCAGTTCTTTCATATTATTTTTCATTGTTGTCTGTTTTTGTTTGCCAAGATGTTGGGGGAAGTCAATGGGATCTGAGGTGCACCACTTTATGATGTTCTGTATGATCTGGTTTTTAGCTTAAAAGGCTATATCTCCTTTTTTGGCAGGGTCCTGGCGGATGGTCACGTTCCTTGGGCTTGTGAAGCATTTTCCAGACTTCATGGACGGGATCTGGTCCTTTCTCCAGCACGATTTTGGTAGTTTCCTTCATTAGTTCTGTCCTCTTTGTTCTTGTTTTTGGTTTAAGTTAGTGCAAACTGTGCTGTTAAACATACGGTGAAGGACCAATCTTGGTTTAAGTTCACTAACTATGTGTAGGCCAGCTATTCATGATGATTAGTGGAATGGTATCCACCCTACCATGACTGAAACCAATCAATGATCTAATTATATTATAGAAACTCATAATACAGAACCTGAGAAAGAAATTTGCAAAAATGTCATTCATATTATGCTTTGTGTATCTCATAAATTTTAATATCTTGCAAAGGTTATTTTAAATGAAGTCATGGGTTTTATTTGATCTATTAGAACATTACTCTACTTGTACTGGAACCAGTTTCGATAGTTTTAATTTAAAAGAAAAAGAGAACAAGGGTGTTGTGGGGGTGGTGGTGGTGAGGGTCCAATTGTAGCTTTCCTGTATTCATATATAGAATTCGAAAAGTGACCACTCTAAATAAATAGCATTTGAATGCTCTATTAAACGACTATATAGAATGTTATTAATTGCTATCTATCTGATTGGTTGTGCCATTCTGATGGTATGCTTTGTCAACTGCAAGGAGATCATCTATGCGATATATTTTATTATGATTGTTATGTCAACCTTGATTTTTTTTTTTTTTCTTGGTTGATTACATTTTTCTTCTCTGCCACAAGCTTCTGTTAGTCTTTATGACCCAGTTTAAGTTACCTTGTACTTTTCTCATTTCTCGGATATCTTTATTTGAACTATCAATTATTAATGGCCTCAGGTGTTGGAGGCTATTCATGATCAAACTCTGGAATCATGGTCTTCTTGATGGGTGCACAATGAACAACTGTAACCTGATTCTCGAAAGATGCCAGGATGAGGGATCAGATGTAGTTAAAAGCTAAAGAGGAGACCGGTAACTACTTCCGACTTGAAAGAGTACAGAAAAGAAAGTGCCGTTGATTTTCTCCTGTGACGCCACTTTTTTTATTCTCTCTCTCCTTCCCTCTTATATAAATTAGTAGATTAGAGATTGACTGAATATTCTTTCCCATACAAAAGAATGGACGTCGGAGTTTACCTTTTCACTGTTGTAATCTTATTCAGTACGGGTCTCGGGTAACGTGTTCGCATTACTGACACAATTAATTGTAAAATTTAGCCACAAATTGATCTGCCAGCATTAGCTATACCATATGTAAAGCTACTATTGATTTCATCTAACACAATTCATTGTGGAATTTTGCTACAAATTGATCAGCCAGGTGCCAGCCTTAGCCATAACATGCTATGTAAAGCTACTGTTGATTTGATCTAAGAACAATAAACTGGCTGCTCAAAGCTGGCTTAGGGAGCTCTTAACTTGATTTTCCCTTAGATTTTGTACTGGGAAAGAAACAGGACTCGAGCTGACCTTGGATGAGATAGTCCCTTCTAATTGTGATTTGCAATTTACATAAACTTTTCACTATCAATTTTAGTTTGATTTGCAATTTACATAAACATTTTACTATCAATTTTAGTTTTCTTGAAAAGAGTTAAAAACACCCTTTTCATTCTTCAAAAGGATTTGGACATATATAACTAACTCAATAATCACAATTTCCAAAATGGTTTTATTTGAAAGATAAATATAACAATAAAACCTAGTGATTTATTAACTATACCTTCAATGAGACAACAAATAATATATAACGTTAGATTATACTAGACTATAGAAGACTTAATATTTTAACAATATTGTTTGACAGTTTAATTAAAACATACTAGACTATGCTAGATGATGCTAAAATTGATAGTTATCTTTTAAATTCTATACTTTAAACAAAACCTTTGACAGTTTGAAAATTAAAATTAGTAAGGATGGATATATACAAGAATACCTCTATTTCATTTTGTTTCTAATTAGTGGCTGTAATATGTTATGCATTTACCTCTTTTTGTGATTAATCTCAATTTTACCAGCCAAAATTGGTTCTAGAACTTTTCTCTTCTTTTAAATTAGAAATTATCGAAACTGGTTCTACTACTAGTAAGTTGACATTCTAACAAATCACATAAAACCCATGACTTAATTTAAAGTAACTGTTGATGCAATTTTTCACACCAAAGAGATGTACGCAAGCCTTCGGGAAGTTTGCATAGGGGGTCTATGATAGACTGAAAAATAGCAAGTATGATGCTGAACCCATGGGTTCAGATGAGGTTATATGTATGGAAAGTAAAATGTAAAGTAGTAAGTGCATAAAGGAAAATAAAGAAATAAACACGAATAATTTTTAAAGTGGTTCGGAAGCAATAAGCAATTCCTACATCCATTGTTATTTTATTAATGGGTTTGCAAAGAGAATTTGTTTTTGTAACTAAAAAGGAGGACTCCTTATTTATAGTGTTCTAGACATAATCTTGGGTGTGAAGTAGTTTACATGCAACTGGGCATGTGGAACCGTACTCTTATCTTGATGAGTGAAGTAATCCTCATGCAAGTGGACATGTGAAAATAAGATTGGATGACATTCTTATTGGTGATGGTCTCTTCATGCAAGTGGGCACTTGGCTTTTGGAAATGCGGCTTTCTTTCTTTTCTTACAAGCTTCCTTTGCAGGTGATGGCTCACTTTGGGGACACGTGTCAAGCCCTTATTCTACATGTTTTTTACTCTCCAACAATTACCCCCAATTTTGGGAGCTTGGGCTTCAAAAACTTCAATCTTTACAACTTGTTATGCGGACTGTATTTGCAAACTGCTCGCTACAAGTTGTTGTTGTGAGCTCCTATTAGTATTTGCGAGCTACTATAGTGAGCTCTTCACCGCGGACTATTGTGTTTCTTTGAATTATCAAATTGCGAGCTATTATCACGAGCTGTCTTCATAGACTAGTGGCGAATGTCTAGCAAGCTCATCTATCTCTTTCAATTGGCGAGCTTGTTGATGCGAGCTCTGGCTTCTCCCAAATTGCTTGTCCGAGTCATTGCCTCTGCTTCCTGAGATGGGTGTGTCCATTGGGGTTCTGACTGTTGGCCTTTTTTCTTTTTGTTTTATCTTCGGATACACGATTGATTGCCAGCTGGACATGTCTGGCCGCATTTAATGCAGCGTGGTTGGTGAAATGAGTATACACATACTTGAAATGACATTCTTTTTTTGAGCATTTAATGTTTATTAGGCGGTTATATGTTCTCCCAAGTTTTTTGGCAGTTAACTACCCCCAATTCCTTGATCGTGGCCAAGTGTGCTCCAATCGCGTCCACGTGTGTTCAATGGACAATTAGGGATGTGTACCTGGGTGAGTATTTAAGAGAGAAATGGAACGGTTTTATCCGTTCTCATTCCCTTTTTAAATTTCATCTTGTCCCCCTCTCGTTTAGTAAGAATCATAATGCCATTTTTGCTTAAAATATTCCTTTCTCTTCAAAATTTTCATCTCCACCGCATTGTTATAACAAAGGTTTGCTCTCTCTAACGTATATTTTTTATTTTGGTGGATACTTTGCTGTGAACTTTGTTATTCTATGTGTAGGTGGGAAAGTGTTTGAGTTGATTGGGAGTTTACTGAGTTTGTACTACCATTGGTGGGTAGTGGAAGTTTGTTTTATGTTTCTGTGATGTGTTTGGTAGGGAGGAGTCTTTTTTTTATGTGGTTTTTTGTGTTTGTCACTAGATGACCGATAACAATTCTGATGGTGTTTGTCATTACAATGAGGGAGACGACGGCGAACCTTTATCGCGTCTTCTTCGTTAACTCTTTCAGAGAGGGTAGAAGGACCTTCGAAGGGGGATTAGGTGTTCCTTATTTGTGCGGCTCCTCCCCTTTCCACTGGGTATCCTCAAAGTGGTACTCCCGTGCAATAAAGAAGGAGAAGCAATAGGGGAGGAATGCAACCCTCTTTGTTGGGTTTACTCACGTGGAAGGCGAGAGTAGCCAAAGACATGGAGGTGTTGGCTCTTCTACACAACCATCTCACCACCCCCTTAGTTCAGGTTCTTTTACACCTATAGCACTCTCTGAGGTGGAGTTTGAACGAATAAAATCCCAACATGGGATTACTTTGCCAATAATTCGTTTGTTGGACGATCTTGCATATGACCCTTCTCCTGGTTATGCTACGACCACTGAAGTGCTTTTGAAATGCGGTGTAGGAATACCACTCCATCTCTTTATTCGGGCAGTGTTGAATTACTTTGGGATTGCCCCTTTATAATTGAGCCCTAACTCATACCGATGTATCATTAGTATGTACATTGCTTATCAAGAGCATGGTCTGGGCGAGCTCACAGTGGAGAAGGTTGCCCGTGTTTACACGTAGAGGTGGAAAAAAATGGGCCAAGTTAGGCAAGTCAGCCCTAACCTAGCCTGACCTGACCTGGCTCAACTTAAGGGTGGGCTGGGCTCAGCTCGGCCTGGGTATCCCCAGCCGAGCAGGCTGGGCCTACATAGGCCAACCTGACGAGTTGTTATTTAAAAAAAAAAAAAAAAACTCGTCGGGCCCTTCGGGCTAGTGGTTGGCAGCCCACAGGTCAATCTAGAAAGTTCATCCACAGGCTGCCAACCGCCAACCCACCGGGTTGGCGACAAAAAAATAAATTTTTTTTTTTCAAAAACCCATTTTACCCTTTAAATATAGCCGTTTTATAGCAGTTAGAGGGGTTTTTTTTGGTAATTTTCTTTTCCCATTTCTCTCTATAAATAGGGTCTAAACTTCTCATATTTCCTCATATATGAAATTCTCTCATTTTCTTCAATTGCTTTATTTACTCTTGCTCTAAAAATCTCTCAAATCTCAGTTGTCAATTTTCTCTCATTTTAATTTTTATTACTTTCTGCAATTTTCAATTCATATTTTCAAATTCCAATTCTCCTTTAATTCTTTTATATCCAATTTTTTTCAACTAGAATGGATAGATATTTCCATCCCATCATCAATTTTGATGATGAAGAAAATTACCTAGTCCCCCTGAATTTACTAACACAAACGCAGTAGATTCAAACAGTCTCGCTTTCCCATTCTCAAACTTTGATACACCTCATAATGTTTCCCCCTTCCTCCCCATGCTACTATAGCTCCTAGTGGTTCTAGAAGTTGTTCTCGTAATTGTTGTCCTCATCCAACTCCATGTGAAGTAGAAGTAGGTTCATAAACTGCAGCTACCAAAAATAATGACAAACACACATAAGACGTTTAAGTGCATTTTGTAAAGTTTTACGAGAAAGAAAATGGACTTCAAGTGAAGAAAGCAAGATGCAAGTATTGTGGAAATATTTATAAAGCTGATGCAGGTAAAGGTAATGGTACTAGTACTTTAAAAAGACATGCTGGTAAATATATAAATCATTATGGAAATAGAGAAACCAATCAAACTCAAATAACTAGTATGGGTAATACTTGGCGTTATAATTCTGATGTATATAGGGAACAATTAGCTTTATATAATGCTGCAACTGATCAATCTATTAATATGGCTGAAGATAAATATTTTGAAATATTTATTAAAAATTCATTTTTACCAGAATTTAAAACTTATTTAAAAAATTCAACTAGGAATGATTTAATAAATTTGTTTAAGAAAATGAAATTAGAATTAAGAAATAAAATGCATAGTTGTCATGTTAGTGTGACTCTAACAATCGATATTTGGAGTGTTAGAGCTAAATAAGATTATATTTGTATGACTAGTCATTATTTTGATAACAAATGTAAATTAAATAAATCTTTATTAGGATTAAATTAATGGATGTGGATCATAGTGGTCAACAAATTTATTATAAAATTATTGAAGTTTTAGAAGCATATGATTTGGTTAACAAAGTAATAAGTCTAACTTTAGATAAAGCAAGTGCTAACAGTAGAGCTGTAGATTTTTTTAAACAAAATTTTCCTTTTTATGACAATTTGAATTTTTTTCACCAACGTTGTGTATGTCACATTATTAATTTAATTGTAAAAAGTGGTATGAAAAAAATTAGAAATAATATTGATAGAATTAGGGATTGTTTAGCTTGGATTACTAGTATTAATAGAAGAAATTCTGAATTTAAAGATGCATGTAGAACTTTAAATTTGTCTCCTAGAACTTTTGCATTAGACATTCCAGTTAGGTAGAATAGAACTTATTTAATGCTTGATTCATGTTTACCTTATACAAATTTAATTAGTTATTTTTTAGCAAATAAGAGGGTCCTCATTTTTTTGTAGAGAGTGATTGGCATATAGCTTAAAAATTTCATTCTTTTCCTAAAACTTTTTATGTTGCCACTTTAAAACTTTCTAGTGTGTATTATCCTACTAGCTCATTGATAATACATACAATTTTATAAATTTCAAATTTATTTGCTCGAAACAGAAAGAATGAAATTTTAGCGAGACCAATATAAGCAATGGAATTTAAATTTAAAAAATATTGGAAACCCATTCTTTTTCTTTAATGTTTAGCTGCCATATTTGATCCTAGGCTTAAATTAACAGGTTTAGAAAATGTTTTAGACATGTTAAGTGAAAATTTACAAGAAGAAAACTATGCCAATGAACTAGGACAGATAAGAGAATGTCTTAGAAAGGTATATTTGCAATATGAAATCACGTATGGGAACCAGAGAAAAGGCACAATACCCGAGGAAGAACCAACAGAAGACACAAATGCAGACTTTGACTCCTGGAGTGCAATTAATAGGTGGAAGAAGACCCGAACCCGAAGCACAGCTTCCTCTTTAGAAGCATCAACAACGAATATAATCTTCTCCATGCAGATGTGGAGTAATGAGCTTCACCAATATTTGTGAACCCTTGACTTGCTGCCAGTAGATCCACAAGAAAGAGCCAACTTTAATGTCTTAGATTATTGGAAAACCAAAAAATATATTTTTCCGGTACTATCAAGACTTGCCTTGGATGTTTTCTCTGTTACTGTCTCTATCGCCTCATCCAAACAAACATTTAGTGCAAGTGGAAGAATTTTAAATGAAAGGAGGACTAAACTTTCACCAAAATTAATTGAAGTCCTCACATGTCTTTGAGATTGGGAAACAGTCGCACCATCCAGATCAATACGAGGTTGTTGGAGATACTTTAATAGAATCATTTCAATTTTGTAATTTAGATGATACAGATGAGGGAGGTACTAGTCAACCCTCAAATTAGTTGTTTTGTAAATTATAACTTTGTAATTTGTAAATTATTGTACTTTTTTTTCCTTACCAAGTTTTTGCCTCAATTGGGCTTTTCTTGGTAAGGTTTTTAACGAGGCAATAATTGTTGTAATTTCTTTTTTCTTATTTTATTTTTTGATAAATGAATAAATTTAATTTTTCTTATATTACAATTTAATTGTATTAAAATTGAATTAATATTTGAAATGTTAACTAAAAAAAATTAATTTAATTGAATTGATATTTGAAAAGTTAATTAAAAAAATTACACAAAAGACAAAAACATTAAAAAATAAAAAAAAATTAATTTTTTTGGTGGGTTGGCCGCCTGGCCCAGCCCAACCAGCACCAAAACCCTCCAAATTTGGGTTACTGGACCGAGCTGGGCTAGCCCTTTTGAAAAAGAGGCGGGCTTAACCCGACCTACACTTGCTGGCGGGCCAAGTTAGGCCTAACCCTCCAATTGGCTAGGCCTGCCACGAGTCAGACCGAGTCAGGCCACTTTTCCAACCTTTATTTACACGCTAAAGCCTAATACAGGAAAATGCATGAATTACCTTGCCAAACGTGCAACAAAAGGTTTGAGTGGGGTTGTTGGTACTCCCAGTAATACTAGAGATTGGGAGTCCAAATATTTTTTCTTCAAATATGGTGGAATCGGAAACTTTAGAGGTGGATGTAGGTTCTTGCGACACAAGCGGCAGTTCTATCATTCTCACCGAGTTCAGGTGAGTAGCAATGTAGATTATTTGACAATTTTGTCTCTTTTTCCATTTGCCTCTTCAACTTTTTGACTACTGCTCTTGTCATGATATCTGTGTAGTTGGCTCAATTTTCTTAAGTTTTTATAATGGAAATACAGATTTATGTATAAGTTTCCACTTGAGAATATAAGATAGACAAAGGCCTAATAGAAATCCTATTAAAAAGTCCAATTTTAAGCATAGATATTTTCAGGGTTACATTTGCTAGACCGGGGAAATACTTTAGAGTATTAATGCTGATATAGAAAATGGTGTCTTCTAATCTAAACGAAGACTCGATAGAAATCAGGTTCTTTAATCCTCATTCAGGCTATGGCTGTTTATGAACAGTGGAGATGACTTTATAGGGATATTTGATTTTCTTCAAAATAAGAAAGCATTGTTTTTCCTTACTGCTCTATGTCTTTTGTGACTGTCGACTTTCTATTTGTCTCATGCATGTGGAATGCTTGTTATTGCTTATTTTAGGTAGCTGCTTTAATAAATAGAATTCCTGAGAGCTTGTTGATAATTTCTAGCAATTGCCAGATGTTTATACCATTTTTTCCTTTAATTTAAATTAATTTTTGTGCCTGTTTACCAATGATTAAAAACTTTCCTTTTTGCATGAAGCCAAGGCGATAGAACAAGTAATGTCAGATCAAGATAGTGAGGATGAAGTTGATGATGACATTGCAGATTTTGAAGATCGAAGGGTATGCCTGTGATTCTATCATCTTATTTGCTTGTTTCTTAGTTGAAACTCTTCTTACCCTAATGAACTTGCCCTTCTTTCCTATCAAATTATGTGGAACTAGTTCAAAATTTTATGAAGTATAACGCTTTTGTCAAGTAAAGTTAATTGTTATTGTAAGACAAGAACTTGGGTCATTAGTTATATGTTTCAAGTGCTTACTTTCACCAATTTAGTACTCGTTGGGCTTGAAATTGCAATGAATTGGATGATATCATGATGCATTTTTCATCCTTTGACCTTTTAAATAGTAATTTGATCCTGTTTACTCTAACGTATGGGAATTTTACTTTGTTTTGTCTCCTTATATGTAGACCAAGTTTCACTTGTGAATGAGTATTTTAATTGCTTTGATAGGAACTTGGAAAATAATATGATATTGTCATATTGAGATGCTTGATGATTTGTTGATTGTTAGCAAAGATGAGAAACAACTTATGCATCTTTGGAACTCATTGTGAGAAAGCAACGGTAGTTATTGCTTACCTCTTCAAGCGTTCTATCTTTTATTTTTCAGTTCTTCATATTATTTTCATGTTGTCTGTTTTTGTTTGCCAAGATGTTGGGGGAAGTCAATGGGATCTGAGGTGCACCACTTTATGATGTTCTGTATGATTGGTTTTTAGCTTAAAAGGCTATATCTCCTTTTTGGCAGGGTCCTGGCGGATGGTCACGTTCCTTGGGCTTGTGAAGCATTTTCAGACTTCATGGGCGGGATCTGGTCCTTTCTCCAGCACGATTTTGGTAGTTTCCTTCATTAGTTCTGTCCTCTTGTTCTTGTTTTTGGTTTAAGTTAGTGCAAACTGTGCTGTTAAATATACGGTGAAGGACCAATCTTGGTTTAGTTCACTAACTATGTGTAGGCCAGCTATTCATGATGATTAGTGGAATGGTATCCACCCTACCATGACTGAAACCAATCGATTATCTAATTATATTATAGAAACTCATAATACAGAACCTGAGAAAGAAATTTGCAAAAATGTCATTCATATTATGCTTTGTGTATCTCGTAAATTTTAATATCTTGTAAAGGATTTTAAATGAAGTCATGGGTTTTATTTGATCTATTAGAACATTACTCTACTTGTACTGGAACCAGTTTCGATAGTTTTAATTAAAAGAAAAAGAGAACAAGGGTGTTCTGGGGGTGGTGGTGGTGAGGGCCAATTGTAGCTTTCCTGTATTCATCTATAGAATCGAAGTGACCACTCTAAATAAATAGCATTTGAATGCTCTATTAAACGACTATATAGAATGTTATTAATTGCTATCTATCTGATTGGTTGTGCCATTCTGCTGGTATGCTTTGTCAACTGCAAGGAGATCATCTATACGATATATTTTATTATGATTGTTATGTCAACCTCTGATTTTTTTTTTCTTGGTTGATTACATTTTTCTTCTCTGCCACAAGCTTCTGTTAGTCTTTATGACCCAGTTAAGTTACCTGTACTTTTCTTATTTCTCGGGTATCTTTATTTGAACTATCAATTATTAATGGCCTCAGGTGTTGGAGGCTATTCATGATCAAACTCTGGAATCATGGTCTTCTTGATGGGTCACGATGAACAACTGTAACCTGATTCTCGAAAGATGCCAGGATGAGGGATCAGATGTAGTTAAAAGCTAAAGAGGAGACCGGTAACTACTTCCGACTTGAAAGAGTACAGAAAAGAAAGTGCCGTTGATTTTCTCCTGTGACGCCACTTTTTATTCTCTCTCTCCTTCCCCTCTTATATGAATTAGTAGATTAGAGATTGACTGAATTCTTTCCCATAACAAGAATGGACATCGGAGCTTACCTTTTCACTGTTGTAATCTTATTCAGTACGGGTCTCGGGTAACGTGTTTGCATTACTGACACAATTAATTGTAAAATTTAGCCACAAATTGATCTGCCAGCATTAGCTATACCATATGTAAAGCTACTATTGATTTCATCACACAATTCATTGTGGAATTTTGCTACAAATTGATCAGCCAGGTCGCCGCAGCTTAGCCAAACATGCTATGTAAAGCTACTGTTGATTTGATCTAAGAACAAGAACTGGTGCTCCAAAGCTGGCTTAGGGAGCTCTTAACTTGATTTTCCCTTAGATTTTGTACTGGGAAAGAAACAGGACTCGAGCTGACTTGGATGAGATAGTCCCTTTAATTGTGATTTGCAATTTACATAAACTTTTCACTATCAATTTTAGTTTGATTTGCAATTTACATAAACTTTTACATCAATTTTAGTTTTCTTGAAAAGAGTTAAAAACACCCTTTTCATTCTCAAAAGGATTTGGACATATATAACTAACTCAATAATCACAATTTCCAAAGGGTTATTTGAAAGATAAATACAATAAAACCTAGTGATTTATTAACTATACCTTCAAGAGACAACAAATAATAATAACGTTAGATTATACTGACTATAGAAGCTTAATATTTTAACAATATTGTTTGACAGTTTAATTAAAACATAACTAGACTATGCTAGATGATGCTAAAATTGATAGTTATCTTTTAAATTCTATACTTTAAACAAAACCTTTGACCATTTGAAAATTAAAATTAGTAAGGATGGATATATACAAGAATACCTCTATTTCATTTGTTCTAATTAGTGGCTGTAATATGTTATGATTTACTCTTTTTGTGATTCTCAATTTACCAGCCAAAATTGGTTCTAGAACTTTTCTCTTCTTTAAATTAGAAATTATCGAAACTGGTTATACTAGTAAGTTGACATTCTAACAAATCACATAAAACCCATGACTTAATTTAAAGTAACTGGTTGATGCAATTTTCACACCAAAGAGATGTACGCAAGCCTTCGGGAAGTTTGCGCAAGGGTCTATGATAGACCAGGAAAAAACAAGTATGATGCTGAACCCATGGGTTCAGATGGGTTATGTATGGAAAGTAAAATGTAAAGTAGTAAGTGCATAAAGGAAAATAAAGAAATAAACATGAACAATTTTAAAGTGGTTCGGAGCAATAAGCAATTCCTCATCCATTGTTATTTTATTAATGGGTTTGCAAAGAGAATTTGTTTTTGTAACTAAAAAGGAGGACTCCTTATTTATAGTGTTCTAGACATAATCTTGGGTGTGAAGTAGTTTACATGCAACTGGGCATGGGAACCGTACTCTTTGAGAGGGAAGTAATCCTCATGCAAGTGGACATGTGAAAATAAGATTGGATGACATTCTATTGGTGATGGTCTCTTCATGCAAGTGGGCACTTGGCTTTTGGAAATGCGGCTTTCTTTCTTTTCTTACAAGCTTCCTTTGCAGGTGATGGCTCATTTGGGGACACGTGTAAGCCCTTATTCACATGTTTTTTACTCTCCAACAATTACCCCCAATTTTGGGAGCTTGGGCTTCAAAAACTTCAATCTTACAACTGTGTATGCGGACTGTATTTGCAAACTGCTCGCTACAAGTTGTTGTTGTGAGCTCCTATTAGTATTTGCGAGCTACTATAGTGAGTCTTCACCGCGGACTATTGTGTTTCTTTGAATTATCAAATTGCGAGCTATATCACGAGCTGTCTTCATAGACTAGTGGCGAATGTCTAGCAGCTCATCTATCTCTTTCAATTGGCGAGCTTGTTGATGCGAGCTCTGGCTTCTCCCAATTGCTTGTCCGAGTCATTGCTCTGCTTCCTGAGATGGGTGTGTCCATTGGGGTTCTGACTGTTGGCCTTTTTTCTTTTTGTTATCTTCGGATACACGATTGATTGCCAGCTGGAAATGTTGGCCGCATTTAATGCAGCGTGGTTGGTGAAATGAGTATACACTACTTGAAATGACATTCTTTTTTTGAGCATTTAATGTTTATAGGCGGTTATATGTTCTCCCAAGTTTTTGGCAGTTAACTACCCCCAATTCCTTGATCGTGGCCAAGTGTGCTCCAATCGCGTCCACGTGTGTTCAATGGACAATTAGGGATGTGTACCTGGGTGAGTATTTAAGAGAGAAATGGAACGGTTTTATCCGTTCCATTCCCTTTTTAAATTTCATCTTGTCCCCCTCTCGTTTAGTAGAATCATAATGCATTTTTGCTTAAAAATTCCTTTCTCTTCAAATTTCATCTCCACCGCATTGTTATAACAAGGTTTGCTCTCTAACGTATATTTTTATTTGGTGGATACTTTGCTGTGAACTTTGTTATTCTAGTGTTAGGTGGGAAAGGTGTTTGAGTTGATTGGGAGTTTACTGAGGTTGTACTACCATTGGTGGGTAGTGGAAGTTTGTTTATGTTTCTGTGATGTGTTTGGTAGGGAGGAGTCTTTTTTTTATGTGGTTTTTTGTGTTTGTCACTAGATGACGATAACAATTCTGATGGTGTTTGTCATTACAATGAGGGAGACGAAGGCGAACTTTATCGTGTTCTTCGTTAACTCTTTCAGAGAGGGTAGAGGACCTCGAAGGGGGATAGGTGTTCCTTATTTGTGCGGCTCCTCCTTTCCACTGGGTATCCTCAAAGTGGTACTCCCGTGCAATAAAGAAGGAGAGCAATAGGGGAGGAATGCAACCCTCTTTGTTGGGGTTACTCACGTGGGAGGCGAGAGTAGCCAAAGACATGGAGGGGTTGGCTCTTCTACCACAACATCTCACCACCCCCTTAGTTAGGTTCTTTTACACCTATAGCACTCTCTTGAGGTGGAGTTTGAACGAATAAAATCCCAACATGGGATTACTTTGCCAATAATTCGTTTGTGGACGATTTGCATATGACCCTTCTCCTGGTTATGCTACGACCACTGAAGTGCTTTTGAAATGCGGTGGTAGGAATACCACTCCATCTCTTTTTCGGGCAGTGTTGAATTACTTGGGATTGCCCTTTATAATTGAGCCCTAACTCATACCGAGTATCATTAGTATGTAATTGCTTATCAAGAGCATGGTCTGGGCGAGCTCACAGTGGAGAAGGTTGCCCGTGTTTACACGTAGAGGTGGAAAAAAATGGGCCAAGTTAGGCAAGTCAGCCCTAACCTAGCCTGACCTGACCTGGTCAACTTAGGGTGGGCTGGGCTCAGCTCGGCCTGGGTATCCCCAGCGAGCAGGCTGGGCCTACATAGGCCAACCTGACGAGTTGTTATTAAAAAAAAAAAAAAAACTCGTCGGGCCCTTCGGGCTAGTGGTTGGCAGCCACAGGTCAATCTAGAAAGTTCATCCACAGGCTGCCAACCGCAACCCACGGGTTGGCGACAAAAAAATAAATTTTTTTTTTCAAAAACCATTTACCCTTAAATATAGGTTTTATAGCAGTTAGAGGGGTTTTTTTTGGTAATTTTTTTTCCCATTTCTCTCTTAAATAGGGTCTAACTTCTCATATTTCCTCATATATGAAATTCTCTCCTTTTTCTCATTGCTTATTTACTCTTGCTCTAAAAATCTCTCAAATCTCAGTTGTCAATTTTCTCTCATTTTAATTTTATTACTTCTCGCAATTTTCAATTCATTTTCAAATTCCAATTTCCTTTAATTCTTTTATATCCAATTTTTTTCAACTAGAATGGATAGATATTTCATCCCATCATCAATTTGATGATGAGAAAATTACCTAGTCCCCCTGAATTTACTAACACAAACGCAGTAGATTCAAACGTCTCGCTTTCCCATTCTCAAACTTTGATACACCTCATAATGTTTCCCCCTTCCTCCCCATGCTACTATAGCTCCTAGTGGTTCTAGAAGTTGTTCTCGTAATTGTTGTCCTATCAACTCCATGTGAAGTAGATAGGTTCATAAACTGCAGCTCACAAAAATAATGACAAACACACATAAGACGTTTAAGTGCATTTTGTAAAGTTTTACGAGAAAGAAAATGGACTTCAAGTGAAGAAAGCAAGATGCAAGTATTGTGGAAATATTATAAACTGATGCAGGTAAAGGTAATGGTACTAGTACTTTAAAAAGACATGCTGGTAATATAAACATTTTTTTTTTTTTTTTTTAGCATCGTACTTCACCTTGTTCAGTAAAATATAAACATGCACATAATGTTTGGATTAAAAATATGGGCAAGATGCCTCCCATAAATGTTTAGAGTCGGTATGCCATTTTGGTTATGTTGCTCTTTTAAGTACATTTTTGCTAGTTATTCTTAGTTTTAGGCCACCTATTATTTATAATAGTGTCAAACTTATTTTCTGCTTGGCCCTCATTTCATCATGGCAGTGGCTTCAACTTCATTTTCCTCTGTGTTTGTTTCCGATGGATGCCATCTCTAGCTTCCTGTGGGTGTTAGCACTTTGAGTTCTGATCTTTCCTTCTAATTTTAGCTGCTGCGATTGCACAGATTTGATACCTAAGCTGCTTGTCATTCTATATTGTAAAACGCTTATGGCTTTCGGTTAGGATCCTACATTGGAAGGGAAAAGGGTGAGCATGTGGGCTATTAAGGGCTTGGGCAGCCTCCCTTGGCAAACCAATTTTCCAAGGAGAGTTCTACCCAAGCTCATAAAAGACTCATGGCCCAGCCCAATTGTTTGAGTTGTTGTGGTGGGTTTTTATCAATTGGTATCAGAGCATGATCCTGTGCCCACGTGGACATCGCCTACGTGACAGGCTGACCCGTGGTAGGTTGACCTTAGGCCTAGGTTGCTACCTCGAGAAAAGGTATAGGAGCCCGAGGGAAAGGGGATCCGTGTAGTCACCCAAGAGGTAAAGAGGCCGACGTAGACGTCGGTTGCGGAAACGTGGTGGAATGTTAGGATCCCACATTAGAAGGGAAAATGGTGGATGTGGGCTATAAAGGGCTTGGGCACCCTCCCTTAGCAAGCCGGTTTTCCAAGGAGAGTTCTACCCAAGCCCATGAAAGACCCATGGCCCAGCCCAGTTGTTTGAGTTGTTGGGGTGGGTTCCTATTACTTTCACAGACTTATCTTGGTTTGCCAGAATTTGATGAAAATTTATATTCCCCAATGCCGAAGTTATTTCATTATTTCTCCATTACTCTAGCAGAAATTACTTTGTCATCTCCTGATGCACTTTTGCTTCCTACTTTTTTTTTTTTTAAAGAAAGAAATTTCATGAAATTGCAAATCTTCTATTTGATGCATTGTGCCATGACTAGTATTTCTTAGCTTCATTTACTGGATCAACTGGAATTGTTTTACCAATGATTAACATACACAATAGAGATTCTTTTTTTTTTAACTTTGTCGTTGTATTTAACTTCCTTTCTATGCTTATTCATTTTTTACAACTGAAATGTGGCCGCCCAAAAAGAAAAAAAAAAAAAAGAAAACCGCCTGTGAGCTTCTACACAACGGACAGTTCTATCATTCTCACGCGAGTTCTCGTGTAGTATCAATGTAGATTTATTTGACAATTTGTCTCTTTTTCCATTTGCCTCTTCAACTTTTTGAGCTACTGCTCTTGTCATGCATATCGTGTAGTTGGCTCAATTTTCTTAAGCTTTTTTATAATGGAAATACAGATTTTATGTATAAGTTTCCACATTGAGATATAAGATAGACAAAGGCCTAATAAGAAATCCTATAAAAAAGTCCAATTTTAAGCATAGATATTTGCAGGGTTCACATTTGCTAGACCGTGGAAATACTTTTAAGATATTAATGCTGATATAGAAAATGGTGTCTTCTAATCTAAACGAAGACCGATGAAATCAGGTTCTTTAATCCTCATTCAGGCTATGGCTGTTATATGAACATGGAGATGACTTTATAGGATCTATTTGATTTTCTCTTCAAAATTAGAAAGCATTGTTTTTCCTTACTGCTCTATGTCTTTTGTGACTGTCGACTTTCTATTTGTCTCATGCATGTGGAATGCTTGTTATTGCTTATTTTAGGTAGCTGCTTTAATAATAAATTCCTAGAGCTTGTTGATATTTCTAGCAATTGCCAGATGTTTATACCATTTTTTCCTTTAATTTAAATTAATTTTTGTGCCTGTTTACCAATGATTAAAAACTTTCCTTTTTGCATGAGCCAATGGCGATAGAACAAGTAATGTCAGATCAAGAAGTGAGGATGAGTTGATGATGACTTGCAGATTTGAAGATCGAAGGGTATGCCTGGTGATTCTATCATCTTTCTTTTGCTTGTTTCTTAGTTGAAACTCTTCTACCCTAATAAACTTGCCCTTCTTTCCTATCAAATTATGTGGAACTAGTTCAAATTTTATGAAGTATAACGCTTTTGTCAAGTAAAGTTAATTGTTATTGTAAGACAAGAACTTGGGTCATTAGTTATATGTTTCAAGTGCTTACTTTCACACACAATTTTTAGTACTCGTTGGGCTTGAAATTGCAATGAATTGGATGATATCATGATCATTTTTCATCCTTTGACCTTTTAAATAGTAATTTGATCCTGTTTACTTCTAACTTATGGGATTTACTTTGTTTTGTCTCCTATTATATGTAGACCAAGTTTTCACGGTGAATGATATTTTTAATTGCTTTGATAGAACTTGGAAAATAATATGATATTGTCTATTGCAGATGCTTGATGATTTTGTTGATGTTAGCAAAGATGAGAACAACTTATGCATCTTTGAACTCTTTTGTAAAAGCAACGGTAGTTATTGCTTACCTCTTCAAGCGTTCTAATCTTTTATTTTTCATTTCTTTCATATTATTTTTCATTGTTGTCTGTTTTTGTTTGCCAAAGTTGGGGAAGTCAATGGATCTGAGGTGCACCACTTTATGATGTTCTGTATGATCTGGTTTTTGGCTTAAAAGGCTATATCTCCTTTTTTGGCAGGGTCCTGCGGATGTCACGTTCCTTGGGCTTGTGAAGCATTTTCCAGACTTCATGGGCGGGATCTGGTCCTTTCTCCAGCACGATTTGTTTGGTAGTTTCCTTCATTAGTCTGTCCTCTTTTGTTCTTGTTTTTGGTTTAAGTTAGTGCAAACTGTGCTGTTAAATATACGGTGAAGGACAATCTTGGTTTAAGTTCACTAACTATGTGTAGGCCAGCTATTCATGATGATTAGTGGAATGGTATCCACCCTACCTTGACTGAACCAATCGATATCTATTATATTATAGAAACTCATAATACAGAACCTGAGAAAGAAATTTGCAAAAATGCTTCATATTATGCTTTGTGTATCTCGTAAATTTTAATATCTTTGAAGGTTTTTTAAATGAAGTCATGGGTTTTATTGATCTATTAGAACATTACTCTACTTGTACTGGAACCAGTTTCGATAGTTTTAATTTAAAAGAAAAAAGAGACAAGGGTGTTCTGGGGGTGGTGGTGGTGAGGGTCAATTGTAGCTTTCCTGTATTCATCTATAGAATTCGAAAAGTGACCACTCTAAATAATAGCATTTGAATGCTCTATTAACGACTATATAGAATGTTATTAATTGCTATCTATCTGATTGTTTGTGCCATTCTGCTGGTATGCTTGTCAACTGCAAGGAGATCATCTATACGATATATTTTATTATGATTGTTATGTCAACCTCTGATTTTTTTTTTCTTGGTTGATTACATTTTTCTTCTCTGCCACAAGCTTCTGTTAGTCTTTATGACCCAGTTCAAGTTACCTTGTACTTTTCTTATTTCTCGGGTATCTTATTTGAACTATCAATTAAATGGCCTCAGGTGTTGGAGGCTATTCATGATCAAACTCTGGAATCATGGTCTTCTTGATGGGTGCACGATGAACAACTGTAACCTGATTCTCGAAAGATGCCAGATGAGGGATCAGATTAGTTAAAAGCTAAAGAGGAGACCGGTAACTACTTCCGACTTGAAAGAGACAGAAAAGAAAGTGCCGTTGATTTTCTCCTGTGACGCCACTTTTTTTTCTCTCTCTCCCTTCCTCCCTTAATGAATTAGAGATTAGAGATTGACTGAATATTCTTTCCCATACACAAGAATGGACATCGGAGCTTACCTTTTCACTGTTGTAATCTTATTCAGTACGGGTCTCGGGTAACGTGTTTGCATTACTGACACAATTAATTGTAAAATTTAGCCACAAATTGATCTGCCAGCATTAGCTATACCATATGTAAAGCTACTATTGATTTCATCTAACACACATTCATTGTGGAATTTTGCTAAAAATTGATCAGCCAGGTGCCAGCCTTAGCCATAACATGCTATGTAAAGCTACTGTTGATTGATCTAGAACAATGAACTGGCTGCTCAAAGCTGGCTTGGGAGCTCTTAACTATATTTTCCCTTAGATTTTGTACTGGGAGAACAGGACTCGACTGACCTTGGATGAGATAGTCCCTTCTAATTGTGATTTGCAATTTACATAAACTTTTCACTATCAATTTTTGATTTGTTGCAATTTACATAAACTTTTTACTATCAATTTTAGTTTTTTCTTGAAAAGAGTTAAAAACACCCTTTTCATTCTTCAAAAGGATTTGGACATATATAACTAACTCAATAATCACAATTTCCAAATGGTTTTATTTGAAAGATAAATATAACAATAAAACCTAGTGATTTATTAACTATACCTTCAATGAGACAACAAATAATATATAACGTTAGATTATCTAGACTATAGAAGACTTAAATTTTAACAATATTGTTTGACAGTTTAATTAAAACTACTAGACTATGCTATATGATGCTAAAATTGATAGTTATCTTTTAAATTCTATACTTTAAACAAAACCTTTGACAGTTTGAAAATTAAAATTAGTAAGGATGGATATATACAAGAATACCTCTATTTCTTTTGTTCTAATTAGTGGCTGTAATATGTTATGCATTTACCTCTTTTTGTGATTATCTCAATTTTACCAGCCAAAATTGGTTCTAGAACTTTTCTCTTCTTTTAAATTAGAAATATCGAAACTGGTTCTACTACTAGTAAGTTGACATTCTAACAAATCCCATAAACACCATGACTTAATTTAAAGTAACTGTTGATGAATTTTTCACACCAAAGAGATGTACGCAGCCTTCGGGAAGTTGCGCAAGTGGATGGACTATGATAGACCAGAAACAACAAGTATGATGCTGACCCATGGGTTCAGATGAGGTTATATGTATGGAAGTAAAATGTAAAGTAGTAAGTGCATAAAGGAAAATAAAGAAATAAACATGAACATTTTTAAAGTGGTTCGGAAGCAATAAGCAATTCCTACATCCATTGTTATTTTATTAATGGGTTTGCAAGAGAATTTGTTTTTGTAACTAAAAAGAGGACTCCTTATTTATAGTTCTAGACATAATCTTGGGTGTGAAGTAGTTTACATGCAACGGGGCATGTGGAACCGTACTCTTATCTTGATGAGGGTAAAAGTAATCCTATGCAATGGACATGTGAAAATAAGATTGGATGACATTCTATTGTGGATGGTCTCTTCATGCAAGTGGGCACTTGGCTTTGGAAATGCGTCTTCTTTCTTTTCTTACAAGCTTCCTTTGCAGTGTGGCTCACTTTGGGGACACGTGTCAAGCCCTTATTCTACATGTTTTTACTCTCCAACAATTACCCCCAATTTTGGGAGCTGGGCTTCAAAAACTTCAATCTTTACAACTTGTATGCGGACTGTATTTGCAAACTGCTCGCTACAAGTTGTTGTTGTAGCTCCTATTAGTATTTGCGAGCTACTATATTGAGCTCTATACCGCGGACTATTGTGTTTCTTTGAATTATCAAATTGCGAGCTATTATCACGAGCTGTCTTCATAGCTATGGCGAATGTCTAGCAAGCTCATCTATCTCTTTAACTTGGCGAGCTTGTTGATGCGAGCTCTGCTTCTCCAAATTGCTTGTCCGAGTCATTGCCTCTGCTCCTGAGATGGTGTGTCCATGGGGTTCTGACTGTTGGCCTTTTTTCTTTTGTTTATCTTCGGATACACGATTGATTGCCAGCTGGACATGTCTGGCCGCATTTAATGCAGCGTGGTTGGTGAAATGAGTATACACAACTTGAAATGCATTCTTTTTTTGAGCTAAATGTTTATTAGGCGGTTATAGTTCTCCCAAGTTTTTGGCAGTTAACTACCCCAATTCCTTGATCGTGGCCAAGTGTGCTCCAATCGCGTCCACGTGTGTTCAATGACAATTAGGGATGTGTACCTGGGTGAGTATTTAAGAGAGAAATGGACGGTTTTATCCGTTCTCATTCCCTTTTTAATTTCATCTTGTCCCCCTCTCGTTTAGTAGATCATAATGCCATTTTTTGCTTAAAATATTCCTTTCTCTTCAAAATTTTCATCTCCACCGCATTGTATAACAAAGGTTTGCTCTCTCTAACGTATATTTTTTATTTTGTGGATACTTTGCTGTGACCTTTGTTATTCTATGTGTAGGGTGGAAAGTGTTTGAGTTGATTGGGAGTTTACTGAGTTTGTACTACCATTGGTGGGTAGTGGAAGTTTGTTTTATGTTTCTGTGTGTGTGTTGGTAGGAGGATCTTTTTTTTATGGGTTTTTTTGTGTTTGTCACTAGATGACCGATAACAATTCTGATGGTGTTTGTCATTACAATGAGGGAGACGACGGCGAACCTTTATCGCGTCTTCTTCGTTAACTCTTTCAGAGAGGGTAGAAGGACCTTCGAGGGGATTAGGTGTTCCTATTTGTGCGGCTCCTCCCCTTTCACTGGGTATCCTCAAAGTGGTACTCCCGTGCAATAAGAAGGAGAAGCAATGGGGAGAATGCAACCCTCTTTGTTGGGTTTACTCACGTGGAAGGCGAGAGTAGCCAAAGACATGGAGGTGTTGGCTCTTCTCACACAACCATCTCACCACCCCCTTAGTTCAGGTTCTTTTACACCTATAGCACTCTCTGAGGTGAGTTTGAACGAATAAAATCCCAACATGGGATTACTTTGCCAATAATTCGTTTGTTGGACGATCTTGCATATGACCCTTCTCCTGGTTATGCTACGACCACTGAAGTGCTTTTGAAATGCGGTGTAGGAATACCACTCCATCTCTTTATTCGGGCAGTGTTGAATTACTTGGATTGCCCCTTTAAAATTGAGCCCTAACTCATACCGATGTATCATTAGTATGTACATTGCTTATCAAGAGCATGGTCTGGGCGAGCTCACAGTGGAGAGGTTGCCCGTGTTTACACGTAGAGGTGGAAAAAAATGGGCCAAGTTAGGCAAGCAGCCCTAACCTAGCCTGACCTGACCTGGCTCAACTTAGGGTGGGCTGGGCTCAGCTCGGCCTGGGTATCCCCAGCCAGCAGCTGGGCCTACATAGGCCAACCTGACGAGTTGTTATTTAAAAAAAAAAAAAAACATCGTCGGCCCTTCGGGCTATGGTTGGCAGCCCACAGGTCAATCTAGAAAGTTCATCCACAGCTGCCACCGCCAACCCCCGGTTGGCGACAAAAAAATAAATTTTTTTTTTTCAAAAACCCATTTTACCTTTTAATATAGCCGTTTTATAGCAGTTAGAGGGGTTTTTTTGGTAATTTTCTTTTCCCATTTCTCTCTATAATAGGGTCTAAACTTCTCATATTTCCTCATATATGAAATTCTCTCATTTTCTCTAATTGCTTTATTTACTCTTGCTCTAAAATCTCTCAAATCTCAGTTGTCAATTTTCTCTCATTTAATTTTATTACTTTCTGCAATTTTCAATTCATATTTTCAAATTCCATTCTCCTTTAATTCTTTTATATCCAATTTTTTTCAACTAGAATGGATAGATATTTCCATCCCATCATCAATTTTGATGATGAGAAAATTACCTAGTCCCCCTGAATTTACTAACACAAACGCAGTAGATTCAAACAGTCTCGCTTTCCCATTCTCAAACTTTGATACACCTCATAATGTTTCCCCCCTTCCTCCCCATGCTACTATAGCTCCTAGTGGTTCTAGAAGTTGTTCTCGTAATTGTTGTCCTCATCCAACTCCATGTGAAGTAGAAGTAGGTTCATAAACTGCAGCTACAAAATAATGACAACACACATAAGACGTTAAGTGCATTTTGTAAAGTTTTACGAGAAGAAAATGGACTTCAAGTGAAGAAAGCAAGATGCAAGTATTGTGGAATATTTATAAAGCTGATGCAGGTAAAGGTAATGGTACTAGTACTTAAAAAGACATGCTGGTAATATATAAATCATTATGGAAATAGAGAAACCAATCAAACTCAATACTAGTATGGGTAATACTTGGCGTTATAATTCTGATGTTATAGGGAACAATTAGCTTTATATAATGCTGCAACTGATCAATCTATTAATATGGCTGAAGTAAAATATTTTGAAATATTTATTAAAAATTCATTTTTACAATTTAAAACTTATTTAAAAAATTCAACTAGAATGATTTAATAATTTGTTTAAAGAAATGAATTAGAATTAGAAATAAAATGCATAGTTGTCATGTTAGTGTGACTCTAACAATCGATATTTGAGTGTTAGAGCTAAATAAGATTATATTTGTATGCTAGTCTTATTTTGATAACAAATGTAAATTAAATAAATCTTTATTAGGATTAAATAATGGATGTGGTCATAGTGTCAACAAATTTATTATAAATTTTGAGTTTAGAAGCATATGATTTGGTTAACAAGTAATAAGTCTAACTTTAGATAAGCAAGTGCTAACATAGAGCTGTAGATTTTTTTAAACAAAATTTCCTTTTTATGACAATTTGAATTTTTTTCACCAACGTTGTGTATGTCACATTATTAATTTAATTGTAAAAAGTGGTATGAAAAAAATTAGAATAATATTGATAGAATTAGGATTGTTTAGCTTTGGATTACTAGTAT